TCTTGGCTCACCGCAACCTCCGCCTCCTGGGTTCAGGCAATTCTCCTGCCTCAGCCTCCTGAGTAGCTGGGATTACAGGCACGCACCACCATGCCCAGCTAATTTTTTGTATTTTCTTAGTAGAGACGGAGGAGGTTTGTTTTAATGATAGGTTTTATTTGCTTCTCTGATCCTCCTCCCAGATGCTTACACTCTTGAATGTACACTAAGGCTTAACTAGATATTTTAGACACTTTCATGACGTTTTATGCTGCTTTCATAAACCCCTCTGTATGAAAATGAAGCCTGTTGTATAATAGCATTAACTCTATGGAAAATGTTCAGAGTAAAGTCATTTCAGCGCAAAAGATGTGGGCATTAAGCACCATGATGTTGTGTAAAGACTTGATACTTCTGTTAACTAGCTGGGTAACTTTGGATAGCAAGTTTGTTTATTGTTTATAGACCTTGATTTCCTCCTTAAAGAGTGAGACAGGAGAGAGAGAGAGACAGAGAGACAGAGAGAGACAGATGAGAAAGAGAGAGGAGAGGGAGAGATTTGATTGATTGAGAGATTCCTGATGGGCATTTCCTAAGGTTTGTTCCAACTAATGTTGGTCCTTACAAAAACACTTTATAGTCAAGGAAGACAGGGAAACACTTCATAATGCCTTAGAGAATCTGCACATACATTAGCATACTCTGGGTTTTGAGAAAACTGAAGACACCAATTTAACAAAAAGTACCCCAAATTAATTTAACCACAAACCCTTTTGTTTTTTTGAAATGGAGTCTCGCTTTGTCACTGAGGCTGGTGTGCAGTGGCGCGATCTCTGCTCACTGCAACCTCCGCTTCCCAAGTTCAAGCAGTTCTCTTGCCTCAGCTTCCTTAGTAGCTGGGATTACAGGCATGTGCCACCACGGCCGGCTAATTTTTGTATTTTTAGTAGAGATAGGGTTTCACAATGTCAGCCAGGGTGGTCTCAAACTCTTGACGTCAACTGATCTACTCACCTCAACTTCCCAAAGTACTGAGATTACAGGGGTGAGCCACCATACCTGGCCCAAAACCCATTTTTTTGCTTAATATCTGTTAAAAGGCTTTAGAACTTAAAATCTATAGCACATGTTTTGGCAGTTACTGCACTCAATTACTTCAAACAATGAAGTTATTTTCATTTTGGTTAGTTAAGGTTTAAAAGTAAATGCTTCAAAGATTCTGCACCTGCCAGAGTAGCTAGGAGAAAAAACTCAGGTGTGATTACTTATTGTTATTACCCTCTGTATATCTATTGGGAAGAAGTCAGCAATATGAATTCTTAAGTGTTTGGAAGTTAATTGTATATGGAAAGATTGTAAAATCAGAAGTGGCTGGCTGTAAGTTGGGCACTGTGGAAGATCTGATCGTTGCTTGGGACCTGAAACTGGATTTAAAGAATTAACATTTTCATATTGACATATATGTTATCAAAAAGCCAGAAAAAGAATAGTGTATGTAGACTTAAATGCAAATGATAGCTTTTGGTTAAAAAACAGATTCTTTATAACTAATATGAATTAAAGAAAATATTTTTCTCTTTTCTTTTTAGTGATGCAATATGGGAAAGGTAAATCATGTTACTATAGATTCCTGACTAAAGGGCAACAGTGGATTTGGCTTCAAACTCATTATTATATCACTTATCATCAGTGGAATTCAAGGCCAGAGTTTATTGTTTGTACTCACACTGTAGTAAGGTAATAACTCTTTTAAACAGTTTCTGTATTGTAACATCCTATGACAGTTTTGGCAATTTAAGTTTTATGCGTAACTTGTTAAGGAACTACAAAGTGCTCTTTTCTCAATTTGTAATACATCCTTTCAGTATATTATTACATTTACTTATAAGCATTATATATAAATATAATATAGGAATGATACAGATATATAAGGCTTGACATAAATTTTGTGCCTTACAGCAGAAGTTGTTGCTGTCATTTATGTAGCAGTGTCAGCCATGTAAAAAGAAAACTGTTGGTAGATAAGCATGTACTTCCTTTATTTAGTTTCTCTTAAGTATTGTGTGGTTATGGATCATTTACAGCAGTGCATGAAACTATAAGATACCTAGAAAAATACAAATTAAGACATTACAGGTATATTTAGGTTTGTGTAGCATATAGCAACTGTGCAGTATTTTAAATGAATGACCAAACATTTTTTTTTTCTGTTTGTAGTTATGCAGAAGTTAGGGCTGAAAGACGACGAGAACTTGGCATTGAAGAGTCTCTTCCTGAGGCAGCTGCTGACAAAGTATGTTTCTTATAATTTTTTAAAAATGATTTTTAATTTCTCCCAATGAAAGATAAAACTCAGTAACTAATAGAAGAATTATTTTTCAAACACTTTATTTCCTCACTTATAAGAGGGATGTGATTGTACTTTACTGCTTATTTTTAATTTAATGTTTTAAAATCTCACCTTCCTCTAAAAAGAAAATTGGATGAGAGACATATCTGATCTCAGATTAAAACTACCATTTATTAATTCCCAATGATGTACTAGGCTCTGGCCAGGTTATTAATATGAATTATGAAATGTAATTTATACTTCAGATATTTTTATCTGGTAGGTAATATCCCCATTGTGAAAATACTGAAATTGAGGTTTCAAGAGGGGGAAAAAAATCTCCCCTAAAGACACTGGCTGGGAAACTATAGTCAGAATTTGAACTCTGGTTTCTTTTTTGTAGTATCAGGTCAGAAGTGTAGTGTATTAGTTATCCATAGCTGTGTAACAACTTACTCCAAAACTTAGTGATATAAACAGGACGCTTACTATCTCCTAGGCACAGTTTAGCTGGACCCTCTGCCTCAGGTTCTGTTGTGAGGCTATAATCAAAGGTGTTGGTGGGAGCCACACTCATCTCACAGTTCATCTGAGGTGGAATCTGTTTCCAGCACACTTAGTGGTTGCTGGCACACTTCAGTTCTTCATGGGCATTTGAACTGAGGGCCTTGGTTTCTTGCTGGCGGAAGACTATCCTCAGTTCCTTTCCAGGTGACCTTTTCCATCAGAGCAAGCATGCAAGATGAGCCAGGGAGAGACACTGCCTACAAGATGGAAGTCACAGTCTTTTGTATAACCTAATATCTCATTGCTTTTTTCTGTTTTGTGCATTATAGAAGGAAATCACTAGGTCCAGCCTACATTCAAGGTGGGAGGATTATACAAGGGCATGAATAACTGGAGGCAGGAATTGTGAGCCATGTCAGAAATTTCCCATCACAAGTATTTTTGGACCTACAGAAAATAAGTGGAATGAAAAGAGTCAAAAATCTATATAAAAATTGAATTTACATAGGCAGCACTCCAGGGGACAGTATGGTGGATGTTATTCAGTCCCAACAAATGTTATAAAGTACTTTCTGTATGCCAGGCATGGCTCTGGAGGCTGAGAATACAGTATTGAATAATGCAAACAACTTCCTTACTTTCATGGATCCCACATGAAAGAACTTTTCCAAAGAGGTTTTGTGTGTTTAGATCAGGACATAGTAGGTTTTGGTAAAAGACCTTATTTTCTGAGAAAAGTTCTTAAAATCTAGGGTTCTTTGATTAGGGGGCCATTATGAAAACTGAAGTAGTACAGAGATTAATTATCCTTCTTTTTCCCTCATGCAAAAATTCAATCCTAGTAAATCCTAAATTAGCCCTATTTCCAAAACACACTCCAGCTATGTCTAATTTCCCACTGTGTTTACTGCCAGCATCATGATCCACCTGGGGTTTAGGGACAAGGTCCTCCAGAGATATGGTGGAGAAACTTCAATATGTGGGTGGTTTTAAAATCATGAATCTTGATGGGATCACCAAGAGGATGGGTGTGTCTTGGAGGACTCCAATATTAAGAGGTGAGGGAGACAAGGAAGAATCAACCACAGGGAAGGTAATGGTAAGGAATAAAACCAGGAAGTTACTTAGATAAGAGTATCAGGAGTGAATGATCAGCTTTTTCAGATTCAGCTGAAATAAGTTAAATTTTAGATGAGTGCTGAGAACTGAGCATTGACTTTAACATTTAATTCATTGGTGATCAATAAGACAGATTTTGTGGAGTAGTAGTGTGGGTGAAAACATGATTAGAGTGGGTTTAAAAGAATTTTCCAGGATGGGGAAATTAGGTACAGTGAGTAGGGAGGAGTTTTGCTATCAAGAGAAGAGAAATGGGGCAGTAGTAGGAGGGGAAAGTGGGCTTAAAGGAAGTTTTTGCCCCTTTTTTTTTTTTGAGACGGAGTTTCTCTCTTGTTACCCAGGCTGGAGTGCAATGGCGTGATCTCAGCTCACCACAACCTCCGGCTCCTGGGTTCAGCTAATTCTCCTGCCTCAGCCTCCTGAGTAGCTGGGATTACAGGCACGCGCCACCATGCCCCGCTAATTTTTTGTATTTTTAGTAGAGACGGGGTTTCACCATGTTGACCAGGATGGTCTCGATCTCTTGACCTC